CGAGGGAGATGACTAGAACCTGTTCAGGCACCAGATGTAGCTGGGTCCTAACAAATCCCTGGTGGGGGGTGTGTGACACAGTGTCAAGGGAACAGACATCCACCAGGAGTCAGGTGAAAAGCAAGCAGCAGGCTCATTTATTCAGTGATGGGAGAGCCTCCTCCTGGCACCCACCTGTTCACATTGTGTGGTCTCCCCTCATTGGCATGGCATGATCAGGACACCTGACAGCGCCTGTTGCTAGGCCCTCAGGCAGACTTCATGGACTCCTCTCTTGGCCTTTTAGGCCTTACCTTCCGACAAATAACACACCCAGCTTTTTGCTTGCTTTTATCTGTGGCTGACAGGAAATCTCAGCATGGTGTACCTAGCGGACAGCTGATGCCTGTGGTGACCTAGTCACAGAAGGATCCACTTCATGAAGGATGTCTGGTGAACACCCATCAGCTGGGTACTGAGGTGATGATGCTGTGTTCTAAACACATTCCAGGAAAGACTGTGGGACCTTTGGAGCGAGTATCCCAGGAGGTCTGGGGAGGAGTGATAAGGAAGTAGACTATAGCTACGCAGCTGCCATTCAGATCATTCATTCATTCACTCATTCATTTGTTCATTCCTTCATTCACCAGGGATGGATAATTGAAGAAAACAAATGTTCCTGCATTTGTGGGTTTGTATTCTAAGGGAAGGGGATAACAAAACAAATAAGAAGTCATTGTGTCTGGAAAGGTAGCTCAGTTGATAGTGGGATGGCTACTATACTGGGGTTGATCCCTAGCACCACATAAACCAGGCAGGGTGCTGCATGCCTGTAATCCCAGCAGTTGTAGGTAGGAGGAGGAGCACAATTTCAAGGTCATTCTCAGCTACATAGAAACACAGGTAGCTCACAATCAATCTAAGCCTCGCCTGCTTGTGCATCCCTGTCAGTTTTGTGCTGTCTGCTTTCCTGTTCCTCATTTTAGTATAGTATATTCTTCCCTCTAGCCTCTTGGGTGTGTTCACCCTTCTCAGACCAAATCATTCCTGTCAGTTTTCTCTATAGCGATTACTTAGTCTTCATAGGTTTCTTTGCCTGTTTTTATCATGGGAAGTTTTTCTCAAGTATGACAGTTTGGCTGAGCATCGTAGTCTAGGCTGGCTACTGTGGTCCTTCAAAACTTGAAATAACATCACTTTGAGTTATTCCAGCTTCAGTTTGTATTGAGAAATCAGCTGTTATTCTTAGGGGCCTGAAGGTGGGGTTTAAATGAGTCTACCAGACCCAAGATAAATGATAAATATGTGTTTATTAGGGAATCACTTACACAGATAAGAGTAAATAATCGCCACGGTCTTCCTGCTCCAGAAGATGCCGTCTCTGCCCTTCTGATGCTCTCAGAAACCCAAGAGATCTCCAGCCAGCCCCTCCTCTACCTTATAATGGGTCAAGTCTGCACCTAAAACCATGCCAAAAGGGTCAAGACACAACCACAAGTTCACTTGCAAGGCAAGATGCCACTGCAGGGGCATACATTTATATGTGACTCTTTTGCAGTATTCAATATATTTTATGTAGTGTTTTCACTTTAAAATGATGAGTGAAGTATCTTTTATAGTCTTGTCTATTTGCTTTCTAAATGCCTCTTGGAGCTGGGTGGGGATTTCACAAATGTTTTTGCTATGAGTTTATTGAAAATGTTTCTTATCCTTTGGCATAAAGTTCTTCTCTTCCTTCCATGTTCATAATTCATAGGTTTTTGTCTTTTCATAGAGCCCCAAAGATCTAGCATATTCCATTTGTACTTTTTTAGTAATTAATATTTTTCCTTGACAGAAAGTTCCAATGCTCCACATTTTTTTCAGACCCAGATAGTCTGTCCTCCCCATGGTCCATTCTATTGGTGACTCAGGTCAAATAGACTTAATGAATTTTTCATTTCCAGCA